TTTGCCTATTCTGGACATTTCATATAAATGGGGTCATATTGTGTGACTGGCTTCTTTCACTTGTAGCAGGACGAGCGGCAGACAAAACTCCTCAGACACCGAGTTAAAGAAGGAAGGGGTTTATTCGACTGGGGGCATCGGCAAGACTCCTGTCTCAAGAGCCAAGCTCCCTGAGTGAGCAATTCCTGTCGGTTTTAAGGGCTCACAACTCTTAAGGGGGTGCGTGAGAGGGTCGTGATTGATGGAGCAAGCAGGGGTTACATGACTGGGGGCTGCGTGCACCGGTAATTAGATCGGAACAAAACAAGATAGGGATTTTCACAGTGCATTTCTATACAACGTCTGTAATCTATAGATAACATAACCGATTAGGTCAGGGGTCGATCTTTAACTACCAGGCCCAGGGTGCGGCGCCAGGCTGTCTACCTGTGGATTTCATTTCTGCCTTTTAGTTTTTACTTCTTCTTTCTTTGGAGGCAGAAATTGGGCATAAGACAATATGAGGGATGGTCTCCTCCCTTACACTTAGCATAATGTTTTCAAGATTCATTCATATTGTAATATGCATTCAGTACTTTATTCCTTTTAATTGCAAAATAATATTCTGTTGCATATATATTCCAGATTTTGTTTATCCAGTGATCATTTGATGGACATTTGGATGGTTTCCACCTTTTGGCTATTATAAATAATACTGCTATGAACACTGATGTACAAGTTTCTGTTTGGATTTTTGCTTGTTTGTTTTTCTTGGACTATGGCTGGAAATGAATTACTGAGTCAAAGGAGAACTTTATGTTCAGCCTTTTAAGGAATTGCCACATTGTTTTCCAAAGCAGCTGCACCATTCCACATTTCCATCAGAAATGTATAAGAGTTCCAGTTTCTTCACATCTTCAGCAATATTTGTTATTCTTGGACTTCTTTATTACAACCATCTTAGTGTGTATAAAATGTTAACTCATTGTGGGTTTTTTTTTTTACCATCTTAACCATTTTTTAAATTGTGGTTAAAAACGTGTCACACAAAATTTGCCATCTTAACCATTTTTAAGGTATAGTTCAGTAGAGTTATGTATATTTGCATTGTGGTGAAACACATTTCCAGACCTTTTTCTTCTTGCAAAACTGAAACTCTATACCCATTAAACAGCTCCGTTTTTCCCCTTCCCCGTAGCCCTGACTAAGCACCATTCTACTTTGTCTCTGTGAGTTTGACTACTTTAGATAACTCATTAAATGAAATTATACAGTAAGTGGAAATTATACAATAACTGCTTATTTCTCCTAACATAATGTCTTCAGGGTTCATCCATATTGTAATATATGACAAGATTTCCTTCCTTTTTAAGGCTGAATAATATTCCATTGTATGTATTTACCATATTTTATTCATTCATCTGTCAGTGGACATTTGGCTTGCTTCCGCCTGTTGGCTATTGTGACTAATGCTGCCATGAACATGGGCATGCATCTCATAATGGTTCTGCTGTATATTTTTCTGATAGCTAATGATGTTGCGCATCTTTTTCATGAGCTTATTGGCCATCTGTATATCTTCTTTGGAGAAATACCTATTCAGATCCTTTTCCTATTTGTCAACTGGGTTTTCTTTTTATTTTTCAAGTTTAAGAGTTCTTTTATTATTTTGTCTTTGTCAAATATGCGTTTTATATAGGGAGGTAAACTCTAACTTTATTTTTTTCCAGGTAACCAATTATCCAGCACCATTTACTGAATAATCTACCTTTTTTTTTTTTTTTTTTTTTTTTTTTTTTTTGAGACAGAATCTCCCTCTGTCTCCCAGGCCGGAGTGCAGTAGCATGATCTCAGATCACTGCAACCTCTGCTTCCTGGCTCAAGTGATCCTTCTGCCTCAGCCTCCTGAGTAGCTGAGACCACAGATGCATGTCACCACATCTGGCTAATTTTTTTTTTTTTCTGGTAGAGACAGGGTTTCTCCATGTTGTCCAGGCTGGTCTCAAACTCCTGAGCTCAAGTGATCTACCCACCTCAGCCTCCCAAAGTGCTGGGATTACAGGCGTGAGCCACTGTGCCTAGCCTGAATAAACCATCTTTTTTCATCCTTTAACAAGTATTTATTGAGCAAATATGTTGGCTGAGACCCTGAGAAAATAAGGAATAAAATGATGCAGAGGTAACATCTGTGTGCAAAGACATATGTGTGCGTAAATAACTGTGGGTCAGCAAGATAATGGTTTAAATGAAGGCTTGTGCAAATCATTTTGGAACAATTGGAAAAGAGCTACCAATATCTACCTAAACTTTAGGGAAGAAGATAAAAGGAGAGTGAGAAGTGAGGGTTTTCATAATAAAAGAGTGAGAACCGGATTGCTTATAGACCAGAAGCCGAGACCTTAGTTCTCTTTCCCATCTTGCAAGATGGCGGGTGAAAAAGTTGAGAAGCCAGATACTAAAGAAACCCGAAGCCAAGAAGGCTGATGCTGGTGGCAAGGTGAAAAAGGGTAACCTCAAGGCTAAGAAGCCCAAGAAGGGGAAGCCCCATTGCAGCCGCAACCCTGTCCTTGTCAGAGGAATTGGCAGGTATTCCCGATCTGCCATGTATTCCAGAAAGGCCATGTACAAGAGGAAGTACTCAGCTGCTAAATCCAAGGTTGAAAAGAAAAAGGAGGAGAAGGTTCTTGCAGCTCTTACAAAACCAGTTGGTGGTGACAAGAACGGCGGTACCCGGGTGGTTAAACTTCGCAAAATGCCTAGATATTATCCTACTGAAGATGTGCCTTGAAAGCTGTTGAGCCACGGCAAAAAACCCTTCAGTCAGCATGAGAGAAAACTGCGAGTCAGCATTACCCCCGGGACCGTTCTGATCATCCTCACTGGACGCCACAGGGGCAAGAGGGTGGTTTTCCTGAAGCAGCTGGCTAGTGGCTTGTTACTTGTGACTGGACCTCTGGTCCTCAATCGAGTTCCTCTACGAAGAACACACCAGAAATTTGTCATTGCCACCTCAACCAAAATCGATATCAGCAATGTCAAAATCCCAAAACATCTTACTGATGCTTACTTCAAAAAGAAGAAGCTGTGGAAGCCCAGACACCAGGAAGGTGAGATCTTCGACACACAAAAAGAGAAATACGAGATTACAGAACAGCACAAGATTGATCAGAAAGCTGTGGACTCACAAATTCTACCAAAAATCAAAGCTGTTCCTCAGCTCCAGGGCTGCCTGCGATCTGTGTTTGCCCTGACGAATGGAATTTATCCTCACACAAATTGGTGTTCTAAATGTCTTAAGAACCTCATTAAATAGCTAAGTACAAAAAAAAAAAAAAAAGAGTGAGAACCAGGCACTGTGCTGGGGAAGGAAATTTAAACATTGAAAACTGCTTGCTAGTGTAAAATATTTATTTCACTGTTTCCTCAAGTTGAATTTAATGCAAATATTCTATAGTAAATGAACAGGTATTCTCTTTTGTGATGAAATATGTCATGCTCATTTCTTGGTGCCTTTTACCTTACATCCTCCGTGTCTTAGTCCATTAAAGGCTGCTATTAACATTAAAAAAAAAAACCTGGCCGGGCCCGGTGGCTCACACCTGTAATCCCAGCACTTTGGGAGGCTGAGGCAGGTAGATCACAAGGTCAAGAGATTGAGACCATCCTGGCCAACATGGTGAAACCACGTCTCTACTAAAAATACAAAAATTAACTGGGCGTGGTGGCATGCGCCTATAGTCCCAGCTACTAGGGAGGCTGAGACAGGAGAATCGCTTGAACCCAGGAGGCAGAGGTTGCAGTGAGCCAAGATCATGCCACTGCACTCCAGCCTGGTGACAGAGCGAGACTCTGTCTCAAAAAGAAAAAAAGAAAAAAAACCTTAGGGTAATTTATAAACAACAGAAATTTATTGCTCACAGTACTTGAGGTTGGGAAGTCCAAGGTCAAGGCACTGGCAAATTCAGTGTCTGGTAAGGTCTCACCTCTACTTCAGAAATGGCACCTTGTTGCCATGTCCTCACATGGCAGAAGGGGTCAAGAGAAATTACTGGAGCCTCTTTTGTCAAGGCATTAATCCCATTCATGAGGATGTAACCATTGTGACTTAATCTCTTCACAAAGGCCCCACCTCTTAACATTGTCACATTGGGTATTAGGTTCCAAGATATGAATTTGGGGGGATACCAACATTCAAATCATCGCACCCTGCCTAAGACAAACATTTGTATTAGAATGATTGTCATTCCATAGTCATGTAATATAAACAATCAACCAACCATTTTCTTCTGGATATGTGTAATATACAGACAAATATTCATAATTATGAAAATAATTTGTGCTTACCGAGAACTATCAGCTCTTTATCTTATAACATATAGCATTCTTAAATAATAGCATATAATGTCTGCTTTCTTATCAAAGCTATCACTTCACCAAAAGTGGTACAAATATGGTTTTATTTCAGAACTCATATTATTTAGATAGAGATTGTTCAGATATTTTAACCTATTTTTGCTGATTATAGAATAAATGTATCACAAAGTTATTTTTGTTTATTTGTTGTAGACTCATCAATTATTTTATAATTATGCTCTCTATATTAGTTATCAAGGGTACCCAAAATCTTTGACCCAGAATTACATAATGGGAAAAGTCTAGTTTGAGATATAAAGTGCTGAATGCTCTATTTGTTTTTCTTAGTATACATTTTAGTTGGTTCTCATTTAGCACCCCTCTGTCAGAATCTAAGGTTCTATTTTAGGTATGGTATGATATAATCATAATTCATCTTACCTATATAGTTCACAAATAGTAGCATCTTGACAGTTTAGGTTTTTGAAATATTGGTATAAAGTGAACAACAGAACTTTAATTTGCTCAGATCTAAAGAAATAGAATTGGTTTCTGCTTGTGATTATGAATCAATAGAGTATATTAATGGATCTTAGGGAGAAAATTAGAGCTCACTTTAAATATAAACTTATAATAGTAATAATTGCCTGTTGTTTATTTTTCCACAGTTCTTAGTGGTCTGTGTTCTAATGACTGTCCTCGTAAGATAACAGTAAGTAAACTTAACTCTGTTATAAATGTGTCTATGAAAATTCTCTGTATGAGTAGACTCACACAAAATAGTTGTTATAGATTATAATCAAATATCATTATTATTTGGCAGTAAAGAATCCTTCATTACTCAAGAAAACTGTGCTGAAAGTAAAGTACCTTTCCTAAAAACAGTCTTACCTGAAGGGTCGTCTTTATGAAGTCTTTTCTGATATCCTTAGAGGAGTGACTACCCCTCCAATTGTTTTAAGACATTTTGGCATTTATAATATTTCATTACCCTTGTTTAGATTAGATGCCTGTCCACACAGGACTGTAACCCCCTGAGGTCAAGAACCATGTCATCTTGTGTACCTGGTATAGGTCACAGAGCCAAGCATATAGTAGGCAATTAGTGACTTTTTTGTGTGTAGTCTTAATATTGACTTGCTGTCTAATAGAATGTTTCAGTGAAATAACAAATGTGAAAATAATTAGTTTTTGTCAGAACCAATTCATGTAAACTGAAATAAGAATATTGTATTTGAAAGTATGCATGTGTTTGTGTGTGTGTACAGGGAACTGTTTGGGGTCTTTGTAGTAATCCTTGTTTCAAAAGAAATTAGCCAGTGTTTAAAGATAAGGAAACTGAGACACAGAGAAGTTAAATTATCCAAAGTCATGGAGCTATTAAATAGTGGAAGTGCAATACAAACTAGATGTTCTCATTATTGTCTCATATTCTTACAGTGTCATTAAACATTACATTGACAATATTTTATGTATAGTTGGGAAACTTCCCATATTTAAGAAGTGGAAACAGACCCTGACACAGGGGTATAATCTAGATTCAAATTGGGGGCAACACCTCTGAAGTAGTGAAGAAAGCAGCAGTGGCAGAAGGAGAAGATGCATGGGGAGCTCTGGAGCTAAGATGATCCTTCAAATGTGGCCCGAACTGAGCCAGAGGGGCCCAGCCTTTGAACTCTTGCATCAATCACACATCACATCCAGACAGGCCTCCAGGAAAGTGTTAACATTTATATGAGGCAGCTCCCTTTGGCTAAGAACAATCTCCAGGTAGGAACCCTGCTGTGAGCTATTAGCAACCAACACAGGCCAGCTCAAGGAATAAGTGTGTAGGTCCTGAAGAGAAGATCTGGATGAGGCATCACCACAGTCACTGCCATGTGCATGTGAATGTTTGGTCCAACCCATATACTTTTATATCACTGTAAAACTATGGATGGGATTCATCAGCCTAAAGATTAACTTGGTCATTCAGATATTATCTACCTACTTTGTGAAACATTCAGACCTACATTTCTCCCTCTAACTAACCATATTTCCATTCTGTGGCTCTTTGATTATTGCATGGTCATGCAAAGAACTTTAAAAAGTTATAGTTGAAACCACTGATTTTACTTACAAGTTCTAGATGAAAGTTTGATAGTAAGCGCTGTATAGCCAAGGTAGGTGACACTTCTTTTTTTTTTTTTTTTTTTTTTTGAGACGGAGTCTCGCTCTGTCCCCCAGGCTGGAGTGCAGTGGCGCAATCTCGGCTCACTGCAAGCTCCACCTCTCGGGTTCACACCATTCTCCTGCCTCAGCCTCCCTAGTAGCTGGGACTACTAGGCACCCGCCACCATGCCTGGCTAATTTTTTATATTTTTAGTAGAGACGGGATTTCACCGTGTTAGCCAGGATGGTCTCGGTCTCCTGACCTCATGATCCACCCACCTCAGCCTCCCAAAATGCTGGGATTACAGGTGCGAGCCACTGCACCCGGCCAGGCAGGTGACACTTCTAAGATCCATAAGGCTTCCTGTCTCCTTATCTTAAAATATTAAGCCACTTCTATCTTACAGTGAACAGAACCATTTGGAAAGTCACATAAGTAAAGTCCAGCATGCAGAGCTGCCTTTGTAATGACTACCCTTACCACCCAGCACCTTTGGGCTTTTCTGCAGATAATGTATCTGCCTCCCATTAATTCATTTATGACTTTCTTTGAAATTAAGATCGTGTTGAGCTGCCCTTCACATATATCATTTTCCTTCTCTCTGATATTTTACTGATACCATAGATCACAATTTTATCAGCATGTAAACAAATGCACAGTGTACTTACCCAGTATCACAAATGTCAAATGTATGCCCACTTGTGAAATTATTTACTTCTTGAGAAAGTGGTTCTTCTTCATATTCCTTTGACATCAGATCATAGTAAAAAGTGTTATAATGGATGTGACCCAGTGTGAAACAGAGAGAAAATGTACATCCAATATAGTATTCTCTTCCACTTGAGTTAATTCATGAGTTGAATAGCTCTTCTGCTGGTTATGTGTTCTGTCACACCTGATAGGCAGACTATCAGGTGTATAGAAAGAGGAAAAAATTACTCCGCTCATGAACCGATCCCACCCATATTCCTTCATCTCCATTTTGAAAACTTCAGAGTGTTTTATTCATATTCAGTTTTAGCTATTCACTCCCATGGCCATAGCCCGAACCTAATCTACCAGAATGGTTTCACTTCTGAAACCCTCATTTCATTTATCCAACTCTGACCACAGCCTATTTTCCAGCTCTCCCACTCTATTACTCTAATTATACCTGTTCCACTTTAAAACCATTAGTCTCTCAACCTGTATCAGCCCACTATTGTCTTTACCCACCTCCTTATTTAGTTACCACACACCAACATTACTTCTGCCAGTACCTTGAACTCCTATAAAGCACTGACTTTGCACTGTACCTGCCTGGGAGAATTTCAGCCCTGGGTTAGTCCAGCTATCTCTTATTCCCTCCTATGCCTAAGATACTGGGCATTTCTGAAGAAAAACCTGTAGCTCTACGTATTGGCACGGCCCCCTCTGTATTAGTCCATTCTCACGCTGCTATGAAGACATAACCACGACTGGGTAATTTACAAAGAAAAGAGGTTTAATTGACTCACAGTTCTGCATGGCTGGGGAGGATTCAGGAAACTTACAATCATAGTGGAAGGCACCTCTTCACAGGGCAGCAGGGGAGAGAATGAGTGCCAGCAGGGAAAATGCCAGATGCATATAAAACTATCAGACCTCCTGAGAACTCACTATCACGAGAACACCATGGGGGAAACCGCTCCCGTGATTCAGTTACCTCCCACTAGGTCCCTCCCATGACATGGGGAGATTATGGGGATTACAATTCAAGGTGAGATTTGGGTGGGGACACAGCCAAACCATATCACCCTAATTCATGGTTTTCAACCTCACATGAGCACTTTTTGTATTATATCACAGTTTTATATGGAATCCCAGTCATATTTTCTTCCATTTCTTTTTTCTGGCTTCTTTCAAGATTTTCTCTTTGATTTTGATTTTTTGCAGTTCAAATATGATATGCTTGGGTATAGATTTTTTCAATATTTCTCCTGCTTGGTGTTTTCTGAGCTTCCTGGTTTTGTGGCTTGAGGTCTGTCATGAATTTTGGAAATTGCTCAATCATTATTACTTCAAATATTTCTTCTTCTGCCTTTCTCTCTTTCTTCTTCTTGTATTCCTACTATGTGTATTTACACCTTTGGCATCTTCAAGCTTAACTGATCCTTTCTTAGGTCATGTCCAATCTATCAATGAGTCCAATAAGGCATTCTTCATTTATTACAGTATTTTTTATTTCTATTTCCTTTTGATTCTTAGTTTCCATCTCTCTGCTTACATTAACCATCTGTTCTTGTATGTTGTCTAATTGTTTCCATTAGCACCCTTAGCATGTTAATCATAGTTATTTTAAATTCCTGGTCTGATAATTCCAAAACGTCTGCTATATATGAGTCTTGTTTTGATACTTGCTTTGTCTCCTCGGACTTTTTGTTTTGTTTTGTCTTTTGCCTTTCAGCATGCCCTGTAATTTTTTATTGAAAGCTGGATATGATGTGTTAAGTGAAGGGAACTAAGGTAGCAGACCTTTACTGTGGAAGTTTTAAGGTTGATCTGACTAGGAATTAGGCTGTATTTACTGTTTGCAGTAGCTGTTGTGTTGGAGACAAATATTTCCCCTAGTGTCCTTGTTTTTGTCTCCTTTGGTGTGTCGGTTTCCTTCTTAAATGAAAGATAGCCAGTGATGACAAGCATTTTTTCATGTATCTGTTGGCTGTATGCATGTCTTCTTTTGAGAAATGTCTGTTCATATCCTTTGTCCACTTTTTGATGGGGTTGTTTTTTCCTCGTAAATTTGTTTGAGTTCTTTGTAGGTTCATCACTGGCCATCAGAGAAGTGCAAATCAAAACCACAATGAGATACCATCTCACACCAGTTAGAATGGCAATCATTAAAAAGTCAGGAAACAACAGGTGCTGGAGAGGATGTGGAGAAATAGGAACACTTTTACACTGTTGGTGGGATTGTAAACTGGTTCAACCATTGTGGAAAACAGTATGGCAATTCCTCAAGGATCTAGAACTAGAAGTACCATATGATCCAGCCATCCCATTACTGGGTGTATACCCAAAGGATTATAAATCATGCTGCTATAAAGACACATGCACACATATGTTTATTGCGGCACTATTCACAATAGCAAAGACTTGGAATCAACCCAAATGTCCATCGGTGACAGACTGGATTAAGAAAATGTGGCACATATACACCATGGAATACTATGCAGCCATAAAAAAGGATGAGTTCATGTCCTTTGTAGGGACATGGATGCAGCTGGAAACCATCATTCTTAGCAAACTATCGCAAGAACAGAAAACCAAACACCGCATGTTCTCACTCATAGGTGGAAATTGAACAATGAGATCACCTGGACTCTGGAAGGAGAACGTCACACACTGGGGCCTATTATGTGGAGGGGGGACAGGGGAGGAATGGCATTGGGAGTTATACCTGATGTAAATGATGAGTTGATGGGTGCTGACGAGTTGATGGGTGCAGCACACCAACATGGCACAAGTATACATATGTAACAAACCTGCATGTTGTGCACATGTACCCTAGAACTTAAAGTATAATTTAAAAAAAAAAAGAA